TCACTACTATAACTTCATATTTACCTCATCTTAATTTCCCATTGACACTTAATAGTAACTTGGGTCAGTTCCATTAGTAGAGGGGAGGAGAATTAAAAAAATCAATTTACTTGATTTTTTTGTTCATTTGTTTTGGTTTTGTTTTTGGCAGAACTGGGGATTGAACTCAGGTCCTTGCGCTTGCCATGGAAGTGCTTATTCTACTGAGCCATCTCCCCAGCCCCAATTTACTTGATCTTGACAAGCATGCATCTATCTATCTGTTTTTGTGGTACTGGGGATTGAACCCTGGGGCTTTGCACTGAGCTATACTGCCTACCCATTTCTATTTTTATTTTTGTCTTTTTGAGACAGGGTCTCACTATGCAGTTCAGGCTGGCCTTGAGCTCACTTTGTAGCCCAGGCTGGTCTCGAACTCCTAAGGATCCTCTTGCCTCAGTTTCCTGAGTGCTGGGACTACAGGTGTGCACCACCATACTCAGCTGCCATTTTTATTTTGAGACAGAGTCAAATTGCTAAATTGCATAGTTGCCCAGCTGGGCTCACACTTGTGTTCTTCCTGTCTCGGCTTCCCAGAGTGCTGGGATGACAGGCATGCGCCACCACAGCTGGCTCTGATTAGCACTAAGAAAAAAGAAAAAATATTGCAGAGTGCGTGTATATGCAAATAGTAAAGGTAAGTATATACTGTCTAGTTAAATTTTTTATTTTGTGGAGGCAAGAGGATCATAAATTTAAGCCCATAAAGGGCCAGCCAGATATCTCAGAGGATTAAAGAGCTTGCTTAGACAGGTAGGGACTGGGTTTGGATCCCCAGCATGCTGTGCCAGCTCCGTCCCTGGGGTGTGCTGAGATGGCAATTGAGACAGCATGGTGGCACGTACCTGTGATCCCAGCATTTGGGAGGCTGAAAACAGGAGAATCACTACGAGTTCAATCTATGTAGTGAGACCCTGTAGATCCTGTACTAAATACAATAAATAAATAAATAAATAAATAAATAAATAAATAAATTTAAGCCCAGATTGGATAAAAAAGAAAAAAGGCTGGAGGATGACTAGCTTAGTGTGAATGCCCTGGGCTCAATCCCCAGTATCTCTCTCTCTCTGTCTCTATTTCTGTCTCTGTCTCTCTGTGTCTGTCTGTCTATCTGTCTCTGTTTCTGTCTCTCTCATACACACACACACACACACACACACACACACACACACACACAACTTTTCCAGCACTTGGGAGGCTGAGGCAGGACTTCTATAAGTTCAAGACCAGCCTGGGCAACACGATGAGTTAAAGGTCAGCCTGAAATGCATAGCAAGACCCTGTCTCAAGAAGACTTAAAAAAAAAAAAAAAGATATAAAAGACAAAAGGTGCATCATATCTCTAAGCACCCACACTTCTCTTTTGAATACATCTACTGCTAATAAATACTTTTCATGTATCTTTTACTGATGTGCCCTGAATTTTTTTTTTCCTCTAATGGGAGTCAGTGAACCTACAAACTTATTTTTTGTACCAGGAATTGAACTCAGGATCTTGTGCTTGCCAGGCAGGCACTGTGCCGCTGGGCTAAGCCCCTGACCCGTAAACTCACTATTTATTTATTTATTTATTTATTTATTTATTTTTGTACTTTTTAGGCAAGGGTCTACAGGGTGTTCAGAATGTAACTCTAGTGATCCGCCTGTTTACAGCCCCCCAAGAGCTGGGATTACAGGTGTGCGCCACCACGCCCAGTCTCAGTCGTGTCTTAGTGTGCCCTGGGGGCAGAGTCTACACAGCACACACACAGATCTAACCCATTCCCCTGTCCCTGCATCTACCTAAACAGGCGCTTTAATCCACTGAGCTATCTGGCCGGTCCCCTCACAAACTTACTTTATTTTTAATACTATAATTTCTTTTCTTATTCTTTTAATACTATAATTTTCTTTTCATTTATTTATCATTATTTTTAATACCAATTTATTTATTTATTTATTGTATTTTAGTACAGGGTCTACAGGGTCTTAATATATAGCTTGGACTCCTAGTGATCTGCCTGTGTTCAGCCAGGGATCAATCCTGGGCCACTGTGTCTGCCTAAGCAGGCATTTTAGACCTCGGAGCTATTTGGCCCTCAAACATTAATTAATTAATTTATTTTCAGAATCGGGGATTGAACTCAGGCCCTTGTGCTTGCCAGGGAAGCACTTATTCTACTGAGCCATCTGCCCGGCCCCTCAAACATATATATATATATATTTTTTTTTTTGTGGAACTGGGGATTGAACTCAGGCCCTTGCGCTTGCCAGGGAAGCGCTTATTCCACTGAGCCATCTCCCCAGCCCCTCAAACATATTTTATTTTTTTTAAATTTTATTTATTTATTTATTT